GTCATTCAAACTGCTAATAAGATTGTATTCTTTAAATTTGAATAAATCGAAAAAAAATAGAATAGATTCTTCATAATAATTCAATTAAATAGTAATAGAACACTAAAACAAGAGTTTTAGCTAGTGATAAGTATGGATGCGATTCCACAAGGGATACCATTCTTAAGGAGCTAAGCATGCACAAACTATTTCTAGGTATGTAAGAGCTAAGCCGACAAATATGGCTGGAGAAAGCACGTAAACAATGAAAGTGCAAGTAATTGAACTTAGCTGAAGGTTAGGAAGCATGCTATAGGTAAGTCCAACTCTATTTCTGTGTACTTGCATAGCAATTAACGTCAAGTTTCGCTATTTCGATGATAGAATGTAGGTGCAGCCCAACAATTTCCTCCTAATACTTACACATCATGCTTTCATTCAATGGGATTCGAATCTGAGAAAGTAAATCAAAACTGCAATAATATTTTTATTTTTTATATGCAAATATAATACTATAAACAAAGATTACAAACCTACACTTGCTCCTAAATGTTTTTTCCAGACATCTTAGGAAAATACTTCTATTTTGAAATTTGAAATTACTTTAAATAATTAAATAATACTCCGTAACATAATGTTTTATATGTGTTAATTTCGTTTATAGTAATGATTGCCAAAAATATTAGATTATCATATCATGGACCATGGTTCATTTTTAAGGTACACTGAATTAAATTCTTTTTTATTTCAACTTAAGTTTGTTTTTTTTCTTTATACAAAAAACAATTAATATGTAAAAATATATCATAAAACTTTAATTAAGATCTTTTAAACAACACCTATATTGATATTTTTATTTTCATGTTTTAAAATAACATACGATTATATATTATAACCGTAATTGAAATTGCATAGCATAAATAATTATAATTTTGTTTAATGATTTTTTTCATACCTAAAAACAAATTGAAATAAAAATTAATCTTTGTATTGTATGACATAAATAATAATAATTTTGTCTTTATCAAATATTATATATTTCAACCGTCAAATATGAATAAATTATATTATTATATGTAGCAAAATTATTTTAAATATCTACTATCTACTATATATATATATATATATATATATATATATATATATATATATATATATATATATATATATATACACTATTCTAATAAGAGCTCAAGAGAGTTAGGCCTATAATGGGTAGAAAAAATGGCGGTTAAATTTTTTAATCAAATGAATCGCTCAAACTGATCAGATTTTAATATTTTTTAAGATTTCATAATTTATCCTTAATGAATATGATTATCCGTTAACTTTTCCGTTAAATATTATCTTTTTCGTTAATTTCTATTAGTTCACCGTTAACTTACTCATTAATTTCAATAAGAAAGGTCTTATGTTCGAACCCCATCCCAATCAAAGTTGGCATAATAATTACTCTATTTTACTCTTGTTAAATTATTATAAATAATAATTTAGTAGCTACAACAAAAAATAATACATATGCATTTCTTTAATTTAGAATTATGTGTCTACAATGTCTTTATTTAAAAAAAAAATAAAAATTATTCATTATCAATAAATTGAATAAGAGAAATAATTTCATTAGTTATATTGTATTTAATTTTTCTCCAATATAAAAATTCTTTACATTCAAATTCATCAATTGATTATATTCGCTACAGATGGTAGTTTCAATCTGCCCCGCGGATATCCACCCGAATCCACCATGTGTGGGTCGGGTTTTTTTGGGTGGTAGTGGGTGATGGGTCTGGTGTGGGTCTTAAAAAAGTAAACCCGATGTGGGTCGGGTTGGATTCGGGTTCTATGTACAAAACCCGCCTAGAACCCCACCCGACCCACCATGTAGTTATTTATAAGAGTTTCTATAACTTTATGTAAATTTTTACTATTTTTATATCTAAACTACTAAGTTTATTTTTTAAAATTAACAATTTAGTTATTATATTTAAATATTTCTATTATTTTATGTTTTAGTATAATTAATAAATTTTATTATTTTATTATGTGTAAGTAATTTAAATATTATTTAAAAAATAATAATAAGATTATAAGTGGTGGGTACCCGTAGTGGGCACCCGCACCCGGTGGGGGTGGGAGTGGGTTTTGAAAAAGTCCACCCGATGCGGGTTGGGGGTGGGGGTGGGTCGAGAAAATATAAGGTGGGTCGGGTGATGGATGTAGCACTCCCTGACCCACACCAGACTCATTGCCATCCCTAATTGTCCCTACAATGTCTTTATTAAAAAAAATTATTCATTATCAACAAATTAATTAAGAGAAATAATTTTATTAGTTATATTGTCTTTATATTTCTCCAATGTAAAAATTCTTTACATTCAAATTCATCAATTGATTATATTCACTACATTGTCTACTATCTTTTTTGTGCACTATTTTTTAATTAAATATCAAAGTTATAATACAAAATAATGCTATATATTTATTTACCAAGTATTTTATTAATACTATGAAAAAATTTAAACAATATAATTAATAAAGTCAATCATATTAACAATTTATATTGAGGGATTTGTTGACAAAGAGAGTATTCAAATCACACAACAATTTGAAGTGAAAACTACCTCGCAATATCCTTGTTTGACAATCACCAGTTAGCGGATTATATTAGCGAATTCAACCAGCGAATTATATGAATGGTTGGTAAAAAGATATTTGAAAAAAATAGCTTTTTAGATTAACATGTAAAATGACCTAAGGGTATATATATATATATATATATAACAATAATAATAATATGTAATAATAATAATTATTATTATTATTTAAAAAAATTAAGCCAATCATATTAACTACTTGGGGATTTATTGACAAAAAGAGTATTCAAATCACAAAGCAAATTGAAGTGGGAAACTACCTCGCAATGTCCTTGTTTGGCAATCAGCAGTTAGCAATTCAAATATTAACAATTTATATTGAGGAATTTGTTGACAAAGAGAGTATTCAAATCACACAACAAATTGAAGTGAGAACTATCTCGCAATGTCCTTGTTTGATAACCTGCATTAGCGGTTAGCGTTAGCGGATTATATTGACAAAAAGATATTTGAAAAAATTAGCTGTTTAGATTAACATGTAAAATGACCTAATGATATAATAATAATAATAATAATAATAATAATAATAATAATAACAACAACAACAACAACAACAACAACAACAACAACAACAACAACAACAACAATAATAATAATAATAATAATAATAATAATAATAATAATAGTTTTTAAAAAATTAAAAAAATATATGTAATTAAGCCAATCATATTACCTACTTGAGGGGTTTATCGATAAAAAGAGTATTCAAATCACACAACAAATTGAAGTGGGAAACTACCTCGCAATGTCCTTGTTTAGCAATCAACGGTTAGCTCTTCAAATATTAGTATATATTTAATATTTTATGCCCTAATTTTTATTTGCTCTCCCTTATGTGGTGTATTTGGTTTCAACCATACCTATATAATTATTTTATTGAAAATTATAATCAATCTTGACTATATTATCTTGCATTTGTAAACTTAAAATTACCTATTTAAATACGTAAATTCAACATTCAATTATCTATGCATGAACAATTTCAATATAATTTTGCATTAATATATACTTTAAAATACTTATTTAAAAAAACATTGGGCATTATATCAATCGCGCAATGCGCGTAAAAACTAGTTTTATATATATATATATATATATATATATATATATATATATATATAAAGTATTTATATTATAGTTGATATATAAAATGATTTAGATCAAAATTTAAATTTGAAAAAATAAACCTAACTTATTTTCAGACTATACATAAAGTTATGAACCTGCCTCAATTTTTGTTAGCATTTATTGGCATCATTCACCCATATACATGACCTTAACCTATTGATGAATGTGTTAGATTTTATAATATAATGTATAAGATTTGACTTTACAAAATATTTTTAAAAAACTCAATGTAATTTAAAATGTTTTACCACTATAAAAATCTCCTATAATCTCAATTGGACCCAGGTTTGAATCTACCTTTCTAAAATTTTAAACGGCATATTAAATCTCGCAACAAGGACATGCGGACGAATGGCGAGACGAGCGAATCGCAGCCTGTCTAAGCGAATAGCTACACTATAGGGGCAAATTGGTCCACACAGTGTTATGTGAAACATAACAAAAAGTACATTTTTAATATACTAAATGCACATTATTTTTGTACTGTATGTACATTATACAATATAATGTACACTCAGTACAAAAATAATGTGCATCCCCTGAATACAATGTACATTATTTTTGTACTGAACCTACATGATTTTTGTATTGAATGTACATTATTTTACCGTCTACAAAATATGATCTACACAATTTGTGTGAATCATGATCCACACAATAATAATTGAAAATCCGTGCCCGAGGCGGGCTCTCTCATGAGTGTGACGACGCCCGTGACTTCTACTGGAAAGTTGCCACATCCCATGTTTCTCTCAATTATGTCTCATGTCCTATGTTTCTCCGATGTGTCCTGTTGCTCTCCTGTTGTAATAAGGGAAGAGAAATTGCGACTACGCAGGCCTTGGCGTCGTTCATTGATTATCAGAGTGCTGGGTAGGAAAGTCAGTTATTCCTACCTCCTTCAGAGGTTGCAGAAGATGTGGAGACCTGAAGCTGGTTTTGATACCAATAACAACAAAGCGAGAAAACTCCTTGCCCCAGAACTCAAAGGCCAGGAGCTGTAAAACCACAGAGAGATAGGCTGCTTGTTGAACCGGCTAGATAGCTGCTACCTTCACTCCGAGGGACACAATAAGGCGGTAGAGGAGGAAGAGGCGGAGCTCCTAGGCGTGCTGCAGCTGAAACGGAACACACCGTGGTCCGTGGTCATAACAAAGGAAAACAGGTCACAAATATGGTTTCCAGAATATGGCCCATGCAAAAGGTTCGGATTTAATATGGCCTAGGCTACACATGAAGGTTTCCAGAATCTTGTTTACCACACTTGTGATACTGGAAAAGACTTAGAGTAAAATAAAAATGCAATGGTAGAGAGATTTACAATATGGAATAAAGAAGTTTTTGAGAATATATTTCACAGGAAGAAACGCCTCTTAGCTAGAATTAATGGAGTTCAACGAAGTCTAGCACAGCGAGTCAATCCCAACCTAATCAGATTGGATAAGAAGCTGCGCAGTGAACTAGGTGAAACTTTATATCAGGAAGAGTTAATTTGGTACCAAAGATCGAGGGAGGACTGGATTACATCTGGAGAACACAACACCCGATTCTATCATGCTGCTACAACAGTTAAAGGTAAGGCTAATAAGATAAAAGCACAGCAGGATGAGAATGGATTGGCAAGAAGTTAATGAACCATTCCAAGAGCAGGAAATTAAACAGGCTATATTCTATATTGAACCGTGTAAAGCAACCGGACCAGAAGGCTTTATTGCAGGGTTCTATAAAAAATCATGGAATTTAGTTGGTGATTCTCTAACCATCCAATAGGTCCTAGTCTGCCAAGAGGGCTTAAAAGCGCCTAAGGATTTTCCTGCTCTCGCTTCGTGGCTTGCACCGCCTGAATCAAATGCTCGAATGTACTTGATTTCCTTTGTCGCTTTAGATTCCCTTATAAAATTTGCACTAGAATTCTTTGAGAACGGTAAATTGGTTAATGGTTGCAATGATACTGTGATTTCCCTTATTCTTTCTAATCCGGATTCAGTCAAGTAGTTGCGCCCTATAGGTCTATGCAATGTTACCTACAAGCTGTTAACAAAAGTAATGACAAACAGGATCAAAGGCATCTCCAAGAAGCTGATAGGACCTCATTAAACGAGTTTTGTGCCGCAAAGGCAAATTACTGAAAATATTCTTGTTTTTCAAGAAGTATTAAACTCAATGAAAGTTAAGAAAGGGCTGTAGGTTGGATGGTCATGAAGGTGGATCTAGAAAAAGCCTATGATAGGCTTTCTTGGTCCTTCATTGAAGATACTATAGAAGACGTTGGGTTCAATCAGGTCTGGAGAAGAAATATCCTTACATGTATATCATCACTAAGACTAGCTTTCAACTGGAATGGGAATCAATCGCAATGGTTTAAGACTGGAAGAAGAATTAGACAGGGAGGCCCTATCTCACCCTTACTCTTCGTTTTTTACATAGAAAGACTTAATCACATTATTGAACAAGCTGTAACCAATGGTGTCTAGAAAGGAATAAAAGTTACACGTCAAGGGCCTCACTTATCCCATCTTGCTGCACTTAAGTGAGGCCCTTGACAGACAGTCAGAACAAAGAGTGAATACACAGAAATCTTCCTTATTTTTTTCCAAGAATACTCACACTCAAGTGCAGCAGGAAATTATAGAACTAACAGGTATTCCAAGGGTTAGGAAGGTACCTTGGTGTTCCTTCCATCCTTGGAAGATTAAACAGAGATTCTTTCACAAATATCATTGAGAGAGTCCAAGGAAGATTATCTAGTTGGAAATCCAAATCACTCTCCCTTGCAGGCAGGTAAGTACTTGCCCAATCAGTGTTATCGTCAATCCCTTATTACACTATGCTAACGACATTATTTCCAGCTGGGGTGATTGCAACAATTGAAATACTTATTAGAAATTTCCTATGGGGAAGCTCAGAGGGTGAAAGAAAGTGTCATCATTTGGTGAACTGGGGCATTGTAACCAAGAGTAAAGCAAATGGAGGCTTGGGAATCCGCAGCTTTGAACTGATGAACACTGCATTGGGAGGAGGGAACATATCGAGAGGTGACAAATGAGGAGGGATAAGATGGAACAATACATATTTTAATTACGCAATGATGTTTTATTTAGGGTAATCAAATCACATAATTATGTTTTATAAAGTTGTCAATCAAACAATAACTATAATTTTAATTTCCATTTCTTATGTGTAAACTCATGAACCAAACACACTCTTTGTTATTGACCAGAGAGAATGGATTGAATATTAAAAATAAACGTTTACTATTAAAGGTGCATTTGGAAACCCGGAAAATGACTTATGGAAAATGTTTTTTGGAAAATAAGTCATTTTCCTGAAAACATTTTCCTTTCCAGTGTTTGGCTACACAACGTAAGACTGTCTTTGTGTGTTTGGATCATTTTCCAGAAAATGAGCAAGAAAATGAAAGATTTTAATACTTTAAAATTTTAATTGTTTGATATTTTTTATACAATCCTTATGTGAATAGCACTCATAAGTCATGTAAATAATTTTGAATGTATATATATATATATATATATATATATATATATATATATATATAGGTTCAGATTCAGGTGCATTTAAGTGTTTCCCGTGTGGTTGTGTGGGTGATTAATGTGCGCGGATTTTGTATTTAATGTGCGTTAGTCTTGTGCTTAATGTGCGTGAGATTTGTGCTTAATGTGCGTGAGTGTGTAATGTTTAATGTGCGTGAGTTTTGTACTTAATGTGCGTGAGTCTTGTACGTGAGTCTTGTGCGTAATGTGCGTGAGTTTTGTGCTTAATGTGCGTGAATGTGTACTTAATGTGAGTTGTTATTGAAACTTTAAAGTGCATGAGTTTTATGCTTAATGTGTGTGAGTTTTGTGCTTAAGTTGCGTGAATTTTGTACTTAATGTGTGTGAGTGTGTACTTAATTTGAGTTGTTTTTAAAACTTAAGGTGCATGTGCTTTTGTGCTTAACATGTGTGAGGCTTGTGTTTAATATGCGTGAGACTTGTACTTAACATGCGTGAGGCTTGTGTTTAACATGTGTGAGGTTGTGTTCTGAATGTGTTTTGTTTTTGTGCTTAATGTGCGTGTGTTGTATACTTTAAGTGCGTCATATTAATGCTTAACATGCGTCCACCCGCACAAACGCACAGGAAGACACAAATGCACCTGATCCCTTCCCTATATATATATATATATATATATATATATATATATATATATATATATATATATATATATATATATATATATTTTTTTTTTTTTTTTTTTTTTTGGATCCGGTGCACACCCCCTTGGCAGATGAGCTCCTGAGCACCTTTTCTGACCCTTAATTAGTTTAGATGAATGGTACAGATGATTTGGACTTTTTTGCCACGTGCATCAGCTTTGTGAGGACATTAGGGCTTGTTTTGTAATTTCGCAATGGCTTTTATTATAGCATGTATTTACTTTCGCCTGGGAATCTGCGTGAGTATTTCGCATCACTTTCTCAAATTCTTCCGATTTCCTCTCGTTCTCATCGCCTCCTCCCGTTTCTCTGTCTCTCTGAACAACCAATCTTCGAACCAATCTTCGAACCGATCTCTAAAGTCGTTTCCTCGATCGGATTCTCCATAGCTTGGTCTTCCATCCGATAGTCAAAGCGTCGGAAGAGGGAGGCTACTGGTGGTGTTCAAGGTATTCCTAAGTCTTTTTTTTATTCGTATTTTTGTTTCTATCATTTTGTTCGAGGGGAGTCGGGGTTCGTAGTTTCCGGCTTGGGAGTTGGGGGTTGCGCACTTTATTAGGGTTTTTTTGTTTCGCCTTTTTCGCGTGGCTCTCCCATTTTGTGCATTTTTTTTTTTTTTTTTTTTTTTTTGGTGTGGGAAGGGTGGTTTCCGGGGCTAGGGAATTTTACATGGCTGTTTTTTGGTGGTTTTTCGGTGGGAGGGGGTTTTGCTAGTGGTGTTTGACGGGGGATCGGTGGGTTCCGGCGGGGATTCTGTTTTGTTTTCGTTTTTTTTTTTTTTTTTTTTTTTTTTTTTTGTGGGAGACGGGTGTTTTCCGGGGGTGGGGGTGGTGGAGCTTTTGCGTGGCTGGTCAGTGATGGGTTTTGCGGCGGGGGGTGGGGGTGGTCTAGCTGGTGGTGATTAGCGGTGGGGTGTTCTTTCGGTGGTGGCGGTGATGGGTGTGGTTATGTGATAAACATTATTTGTTTCCATTCCAGCAATCTCCTTCGACGTAGCAGAAGTTCCAACGTTACAGACTCCTCGTTAGCAGCAGCAAGTTTCGACAGCTTCAAAGTCCTCTTATTTGGCATAAGAATTCTTCTTTCCTTTGCTTAATTCTCCTTTGCTATAATTCAAATATATTGTCTAGCTTTTCAACATCAATATTTAATTTGCTATGTACACAGTTCACGAATTTCTCTTTGGTAGTCGCAACTTCTGTACGGCAATTCTTTAATCCTCTTTTATTCTTCTTTGCTAATTTATGTTTGTGTTTAGTCTTTGGAAGATAAATTGCATGAGACAATTGCTGCCAAATTATTTATGCTTTGTTAGATTTCATAATGATTTTACCATGATTGTTTTGCATAAATTAAGTTAATTTCCCAATCGAAATTTAGGCTTTTCTAATTTGATTGTTAATATCTTTATATTTGATATTTGTTTTGAGCACTTTAATTTGTCAGGCTCGTTATTTTAATTTGATGTTCCTTTGCTGTTATTTCATTTCGTTGTTATTTTATTATCTTTCCTGTTTGTTTGGTACTACAATTTTGTTCAGTTAAGCCAATTGTGATTGGGTTAGAGGTGAATGCAGTATAGTATACCCTTGTTGTAGCTTTATTTACTATGGGTTTGTGCGTACATAATCTGTGATTAGTGCATTTTTTTTTGTGGGGGGTAGGGGGTTGGTGGTCATGCTAATGGTGTTGTAACTGGTCATGCTATGTGCGTAGGGGTTAGGCAGTGAATGCAGTACAGTGTAAACATGGTGTAGCTTTAATTAGTATGGGTTTGTGCGTAATGGGTTCGGTTTGTGTTTGTTGCGTAATGGGGTTTTTTTTTTTTTTTCAATGAGGTTGGATTCTTGCTGGTAATGTAGCTTGCTGTTTTTTTTTATTTTTTTTTATTTTTTTTTATTTTTACAAGTATGCTATGTGCGTATGGGGTAGGAGGTTAATGCATTATAGTATTTGTAATGTACTGGAAATATTGTTTGGGTATTTGTTGGTATTACTGTGTATATCTTCTTCTTTTTTTTTTCCAATTTCGCTATG